TCATTTGTAAGAATCTTCAAGTTCTTTAATGGATGCCCACTCGAATTTTTAGTAATTCGTCTCATCATTATTGATCCGGGATGGACCAAACGGCCATGCCAAAGCACAAAAGTATTTGTATCCATAAACTTCTGGTTTACGATAGAGTGTGCTTCAATTGTACTAATTTTTGAATAGTATAAGCCAGAAGATAAAGTTGGTAACTTTTCTACAATGCATTTCTGGCCAGAAATATTCTTTGTAATACAAAGATATTCCCTGTTCATTTCATCTATTGTCTTAACATGATACCCATTTCGGCGGATATCTATAAAACTCAACAAGTTTCTTCGGTACTTGAAGGAGAACAATGCATTGTCTATAATAAGTTTTGTTCCCTTAGACAGAAATATTATGGCTCTTCCGGAGCCTTCAATCAAACTTATATTACCAGAAATTGTTGAAACATTTGCTTTTTCCTTATGCAAATAAGAAAAGTATTTCTGATCGTTGAATATGGCATGAGTTGTTCCACTATCAATAACACACATATCTTCATGATTTGTCTTTGATCCAAACATAATTTGAGGGTTATCCATATTCTTCAAAATAACATAAATAAAATATATTATAGTAAACATCATTATCAAAGCATAACTTTTATTTATGTACAACAATTACATAACCATACTATCTATTACAAACAACAAAAATTAAAATATTTACATTTCTACAGATTCACTACCGATTACATGACTTGTTTCTCCTTCTGGGAGTGCAAAGTAATCAGCTACATCCAAATGCATGAAGTCTAAATTATCTTCAGAAATAAAATTTGCTTCAGCATTTTTCTCTGTCTTCTTCAGGGAGGCTTGATAAAGCTCAACCAGGTGCTTTGGCGTACGACAGGTACGTGACCAGTGCCCTTTTCCTCCACATCTATAGCATGCATTTTCTGCATTTGGCGCTTGCACCGCTTCATGCTTTTGTTCCTTCCTTTTCCACTGCTGGTGGTGAGGAGGCTTCTTTGGTGCATTATTATTACCATGATTGGGGTTTCTTCCCCGACCACGGCCATGACCACGACTGGGGCCACGACCTCTTCCACGTTTAGCTTGGTGGAAGTTCGTCTCATTCACTTCAGGGAATGGACAAGAACCAATAGGTCGGCTTTCATGATTTTTCATTAATAGCCCATTATGTTGCTCTGCTATAAGAAGATGTGAGATAAGTTCAGAATACTTTTTAAATCCCATCTCTCGATATTGCTGCTGCAGGAGCATATTCGAGGCATGAAAAGTGGTGAAAGTTTTCTCCAACATATCATGATCAGTAATATTATCACCACATAATTTTAATTGGGAAATAATTCTGAACATAGCAGAATTATACTCACTGATAGATTTAAAATCTTGTAGCCTTAGATGAGTCCAATCATAACGTGCCTGTGGAAGAACGACCATCTTCAGGTGGTCATATCTATCTTTCAAATTATTCCACAGTATGACTGGATCTTTAATAGTGAGATATTCCATTTTCAGGCCCTCATCAAGGTGATGGCGTAGGAATATCATTGCTTTGGCACGGTCTTGGTTTGATGCCTGGTTTTTATCCTTGATGGTGTCTGCCAGACCCATCGCATCAAGATGAATTTCAGCATCAAGCACCCAAGACATGTAGCTTTTGCCCGATATATCCAGGGCTACAAATTCAAGTTTAGAAATATTTGACATTATTTAGGAAAAGAAAGTTCTTACCTCAGATACTTTCAAAATATTTGCTCGAGATGGTAGAGTCTCGTGCTGATAACGTGTTATAAAATAAAGACTGTAAAGTAAAGACAAGTATAGAAAGAAACTGATATATTATTCGAACTCAAACTGATGTGCATAATGAACTGAAATCTCTTCTATTTATAGAAGAAAGGAAGCTGCTGTGTAAGCTGCTACGCAAGCTGTTGTGTTAGCTGTTACTGCAGCTGCTGCGTAAGCTGCTGCGGAAGCTGCTGCGCAAGCTGCTGTGTAAGCTGCTACTATACCAGATATGGATAATCTTCTCCAGGAAAATTATTTACAACGGAGTACTAAATGAACATCCATAATATAATATATTTATAACACTCCGTAAGTATTTATTTTTATTTTAGACCTTGTAATTAGTTAGCTGTGGCCTACGACCTCATTCGACATCTATATTTCTTATATAGAATAAATATTGTAACGGTGTGTAATGACTGAATGATATTTGATTATTTTCCTCTCTAAATTTTTCTCACTGTTCTTCTCTGTATCTTTCCCTTCTCTCCCTTAATTCTCCTTTCGGCTCCTCTAATTCTCTCATTGCTAAGGAATTGGTGGTCCATTCGTTACACAATAATGACACATTAGTTATCATATCAAATCAATCACCAAAAAAGATGTATTGGTCAATATGAAAATGCAAATCTCGATCGCTGTGTAATACATGAGCAACGACCAATAATATTGTCTACATAATAGTGATAATATTTAGATACGATTGACGAATGACCCATGTAGCTTCTGCCATTAGTCGATAAGGGCACATCTAATCCATTTTTGTAATGATACAAACATACATCTGATCCCAATGGTTAATAGAGGATAAATCTTGACCATTTCATGAAGTTCCAAGGGCAAATTTGAACATTCTCCCTTTGAAAAAAAATTACATACAATTTTCATTTGCTGACAAGGCTTTATATTATTTACTAACATTAAGAAGGATCATAACAAAATGTGACAGCAGGTCTATACATAGAGCAGAGTTTACAGCCAAAAAAAAAAAGGCTGAGGCCCTGTTAGTCAGAGAAAGTGTTTGCCAAATTACATCCATATTTAGCTAAATGACATTCAGTTTGAATAGGACATCAATGCACCTAACCAAAAAGTCATAATATGCTAGAATCTAAACTGGAGCTGCTCTTTTCCTCGTTTCGTGGGATGGAGATTCTAAATACTTGAGTACTGCTTTGGGTGATGCTCGAGGAAAGCTTACCAGTTCTTTCAAATGTTCATTACACCTTGTGGCATTTCTCGAATACTGTTCAATGATCATCTTCTCTAGGTTTAAAGAGTGAGCAAGGAGGAGTCTTACTAGGCACATTTCAACTCTTGAACCCTTGAACTTCCTTAACCTCACTGTCTTAATCATTTTCAGTGCTTCATTCACAAGGTTCCGAGGCTCGGAAAAGTAATTTGAAAGCAACTCCGTTGTATTACTCGGTGTATCACCAACCTAAAGAAGAATCATATTGCACTCAGTCAAGCTTCCCAACATACATATGAAGTTTTACATACATATAGACACGTATAAAGTACCGTAAGCCACAGTATGTCTTACCCTCACGGTTTCACGTATGCTGAGTTCATAAAGTTTAGGTGAAATCCGAAGGAAGCAAAGAGCACAATAAATATGTTTGTAAGAAATCTCCAAGTCATATAGTATCAACCTTTCCAGGTTTAGTGGTTGAACAAGCCTCTCTGGCTCAGGAACCATCCATGAGTTCTGCAAAAAGCAATTTGACAGAAAACTGATGTGTTTTACTTAATTGTTAATTCATACATATTTAACTTATATATGCTTGACAATGTAACAAATTTTTACACTATCAATAATCAGTCTTATTTTTCAAATTACTTTTTTTTTTTTATAAGGTAAATTGTATTAATCAAAAGGGAGAGAACTCCCGTATACAAGAAGTATACCAAAAGTAGAGAATTTACATCAGAACATGATTCTCTACAAAAGACGCCCAATCTTCCATACAAATAGGGGCTATATGAGTGCACCAAAAAGCGATCAAAGACAAAACACTTTTCTTAAGATGTGAAAAAGGATACTCAATCCCCTCAAAAGCTCTCCTATTTCTCTCCCCCCAAACTATCCACATGAGAGCTAACGGGGCGAACTTCCACGCCTTTTTCTTTCTTCTTCTACGGAAACCGGCCCAGTTATATAGCATTTCCTTTACAGTGCTTGGCATCACCCATTAAACACCAAAAAGGTTCATGATCGCCCTCCACAAAGCCGAGGACACAGGGCAATGCAACAAAAGATGATCAACTTCTTCCCCTGAGCTTTTACGCATATAGCACCAACTAACAAGTGTAATTCCCCTCTTTCGCAGATTCTCAGCAGTCAAAATCACTCCCCTCGCCGCTAGCCATGCAAAAAAGCACACCTTCATAGGCGCCTTAGGAATCCAGATCGAGGAGTATGGAAAAGAGGTCTCCTCTCTAACCAACATACTCTGGTAAAAGGACTTTACGGTGAACAGATCATCGCCACGCAGACCCCATCTCCAGGAATCACATGATGGCTGAGCCCTATCTTGCCCATATAGCAGTGTCAATAAGTCTTGGAGCTCCGCAATCTCCCAATCTTGCATGTTCCTTCTAAATGAGAGGTCTCATACTACCCCCCTCCCCTACATGCTCCTTACGAATCTGTTGGACCATCAAATTACTAACCTTACTTTTTAATGAACAGGTAGATGCAGTTGTCTTTTTTCTTCTTGTGATATGGTAGTACTATAAAAATTGAGTTTAAAGTTATAGACACTGTCAGTAAATTATTTTTTACACTATCGGGTCATCTAAAGGATATAAAGATGACCCGATAGTGTAAAATTTACTTACGCTACGATGTATATAACTTAAACTCATAAAAATTACTATGTTTTATAAAAGTTGAAGGCTCGTTTGACCACCAGCAGTTACGTAAAGAATGCAGGCATTATCTTACCTCTAGGAACGAACCAGCCAAGTAGAGGTGTTTAATGCTTCTCAGCATTGGGGCCACGTGATAGAAAGAAAATATTTCAGTATAACTGCAGATTCTGGACATGTTTATCTTCAAAATCTCGAGCATTGGAAGATGAGGAAAGCGTACAGTTTTTCGACTGGCAAGTTCAGCAAGTTCTAGATTAAGGCTGACAAGACTGGGCAATTTGATAACATCAGGCAGCTCAAAGATACACCTCGAAAGCTTCAAATGTGTCAATGTTGAACTACTGAAAATGGCATAAGGCAATGCATAAGGTTTATTGTTGGCCATATCTATGGTGAGCTTCTGGACACCATTTTCTAAGAGAAAGGTAATGCACTGATCCACATCTGACTGTGCCAGCTTGTGTTCCCTAGAGATAAGTTGGAATCCCAGAATCAGTCCAGTATGTCGCATGAGAATTTTATGGATTATCCTTCCAGCAGATGCCCTGTTATTAGATACATACTGAAAAAAGTGGTGATCAAACACAAGGTTTGGCTGCGTAGACCATATATATGTCCATCTCTTTGATAAGATGCTAGTTCTTGCAGCAACTTGGATGGGCATATACTCTAGTATCCTCTGTTTAATATCAGTTGGTAAGTCTCCAATGGTAGACTTTCTCGCATCAGTAGCTTCCTTGCTTCTACCCCATCGACTCATACTTTTTATCTGAAATATTTGACAAATCTATTAGCTTAAACATGAATTGAGGATCTATAACTGGTTGGGCTATTAGTAGCATTAGCATTAGATATTAATGCAGATCTTAAATCACACCCTAATTCATTTTCTCACACTCAACTTCCACATTCAATTTTCTCTTAACTCTCTCAATATTCAGGCTTCAATTTTTAATTTATAAGGCTATCAACCAATCTGGAATTTGGATTTTGTAATTCGCGTTTCGACTTTCAAGCTCAACCAGTTCAATTTTTCGTTAATTAGGCAAATTTGGTACCTTCCTTCCACTCTCTATAGGTTAACAATTTTCGTTGATACTACATGTTTCTATCTTCAACTAAAATGACATTCTTCATCATCTCGTCCTTGTCTTGCTGAGTTCATATAAAGAAGCAGAATACTCATAGCACTTAATTACTCAGGAGACTATAATAGTCAGTAAAAGACATCAACAAACTGAAGATACTAAAATGAACTTAGATTTAGATGTGATTTTTAACCAGATAGTGTTAAATTAGAAGATGATCCAACCACTGCTGCTCAACCAACCGGGGTCCATACCTACTATTGAACTCCAAGATCCAAAAACATTACAAGGTCAATAAACAACTTTTAAAGTATGGAACTATATGATCCCAACAAGGAAAATAACACCGCTCAATGGAAAATAAGTAAGAAGCTAATAGAGAAGAAATATGAACTTTAGCTCGCCATTGGGATCATATAAGTTAGAGGTTGCAAATATAGGAAGCTGCTGAAAAAGATCTTCTTCACTTCTTATACAAGGCATAGTTGACCCTAGAACTGGTAAGACTTTTAGATACAATAAACAAAAGTCACCGCAAAACTCTTGGATAATTTCCAAAGATAGTTCCACATAAGGCCTCTATTACAAAAGCCATCAGGTACGAAGCTTTCAGAAGAAACCAAAAAAATCTTCAAACAACAGTTGTTAGTATATTCACACAATGAAATTTCAAACCAGACCTAAATGATTTGTCCTGAGGGTTATTTACAAGATCAAAAGAACACGACGTAGGTAAGCAGGCTGAATAATAAGAGGATGTATTTATTAAGGTAAGCAGGCTGGATAATAAGAGGATGTATTTATTATATTACACAGGTGGTGCTACTTATGCAGTAATTTCACAATCTTAAACAAGTGTTATCTTTAGTGCATGAGTTAACAACAACAACAACATACCCAGTAATATCTCACACTGTGCGGTCCGGGGAGGGTAGTGTGTACGCAGACCTTACCCCTACCTTACTGTCTTGTTGTTTTCATTATGACAGATAATTTCATGCTAAACAATTGCTTCTAGGATCTTTATTTTTATGTTGATGGTGTGGTGTCCGGGCCAGCTTGCCCACACCTCGACTAATTCCACGGGATACCTGCCACCTCCCACCAGTAACAGGTACCAGGTAACTAGGTTGATATGGATAGATGAGAAGAAATCACCTATATTTTTGCCTCCGCTAGGATTTCAACCTAAAACCTAATGGTTCTTACCGACTTCATTGACCACTAGGCCACACTCTTGGGTGCTGACAATTGCTTCTAGGATCTTATTTTCTAAAGCGAAAGTGGATCTATTCATCTGCATTTGATTTTACGGATTAGCTTCAATACTCTTTAGCCCAACAACTTTTCACCGCAGAAGCCAATAGGAAGGTAGGCCTCTATCCAACTAGTAGGACATGCAGTTCTCCCCTTAGCCTTAAGGCAGGCACAAATCAGAGAATAACTTGTAAAGAAAAGAGGACGACTTAAGACAACAAGAAACCAAAAGCAAAAAGTCACTTGCAAGCCTAAGAAGAATTAAAGATCTACATCAGAATATAAGATTCAACCATATTTTCTGGGTCTACCTCATGCACCTAAGAAAACATTTGTTAAATTAAGATGTCTAATTACATGGAGTTACTCAACAAACAGCACAAGTGCGTAATTGATGAATAAAGCATATTCCTTATTGTATTGCCTACGGGACATTCTTTTAGTCTTGTAAACAACCTTCAAAACTAGTCGTTTTGGATTAGTGTACGAAGATACTATACGACCACAATTTGACAAGTATTGGCGGTTCCTGGTGAAAGCAATGTAGCTGGCAATTTTTGTGTTAGAAATATTATGAGGAATTATCTCATGAAATGATTCAAGAGTTTCCCAAAGTATACGAGAAAAAGATCTTCCCCCGCACACAAGATGAGGGTATACCACATTCATTGATGGAAGCTTCTTCACGTTCAGCTTTAAAGTTTGTGATATCCTCCTTTTTTCATTTTGATCTCTACTTTTCTGATGCTATACACAATGAAATAGAGTTAACTTTCCTCTGAGTTTTACTACATTGAGTCAATATACGTATTGGGCTCAAGCAGCCCGAAGATACTCTTTTAACATGGCGTAATATTATACGCTTTGGGTCAAGTTAGCACAGTTTTCCCTAAAGGCCTCATACCACCACCAGTATTCATACTTCCCAATCTTTTCCACTACCAATTTGAGACTTTTATTCACACACCTAACAATACGATTAAGTCGTGGAAAATAAAAGGAAATACTAGAAAATGAATATTATTTACTAGCGATATTTAATCTTTCCCGTTTTGCTTTACTAGGGATGGCAATGGTGCGGTTGCGGGGCGGGTTTGGCTCAACCCGCAAAAAGTTCAACCCGCCCC